TTCCTGGGGTAAGTAGGTGTTAAGACCTGGGTCCGTGTATCTCCCAGCTACATTCATGCCCAAAACAGTCAGAACACTCAGGTCTCCCCAGAACCTGATTTACTATCAGGGAGGTACTTCAGCAGCAAGGAGGATGGGACCCTGGGGTAGAATGAGGGTTGGCACCAGCAGGCCAGTCCAAGACTGAGTGACCTGCAGCAAGACAGTGTGGAAAGGAAAATCCTACAAGGGGTGTTTGTGTCATGGAGGTTGCAAAAATAAAAATGACCATTCTTCCACGAGCTGGCTGATGGCTCTAGATCCCAGAAAAAGAGGGGACACCTCTATGTGCCTACAAATAATAAGTAACAGTTTTTCCTTTCCATAGAAAGGCCCAGCCTCATAACATAGTCCACAAAGACAATGTTCTACATCCTACTTTGGTTAGTAGCAACTGGGCTCTTAAAAGTTTGCAAGCAGTCATCTCAGGTGCAACTCTTGGTCTCTCATCTGGAGCATAGAGGAGTGAAGAAAATCAAAGACATATGGAAACAATTAGGCCAAGGGACTAGTGCACTACATAAACCTCGGTCTCCATGACCCTGAGACCAGAAGAATTAGATGGTGTCCAGCTACCATTGTCAACCACTCTAAAAGGGATTACAATAGAAGATCCTGAATAATGTAGGAGGAAAATGTGGAACAACACTCAAAATATTAATAAAAAAGACCAGGCTTCCTTGTCTGATAGAGACTGGTGGAACCCCCTTAGTCACTCATCAAGCCTGGAACTGAACTTCTGTGGTTCAACTGTCAGCCAAACAATAGACAAGCCTACCAGGGGAACAATACCACCAAGAAGGTACACACTCCCTATGACAATCAACCATACGTGATCCAAAGGGCAGCATTTGCCTAGGGAGAAAGCTTAGAAGGCAGGAGTGGACAGGAAAGGATGAAGGAAAATAGTAACCACAGGAAGGAATCAGGAAGAGTGTTGTTACATTGTGGGGATTGCAATTAATGTCAGGAACAAAATGTGCATGAACTGTTGAATGGAAAATGAGTTTGCTCTGTAAACTTTTACCCAAATCACAGTCAAACTGTTGAAAAATAAAAGGCCCAGACTTGGAAGTCTGACTCCCAACTCCAAAGGCTCTTGTTATGCTTGCCACTCTAAATGTAATTAAAGTGCCTTAAAAATAAAAAATATAGGTTCTGTGGAGTCAATTTCAACTCATGGTGACCTCATGCCAGAGCAGAATTGCACTTGGTAGGGTTTTCAATGGCTGGTTTTTCAGAAGTAGATCACCATTCCTTTTTTCCAAGGCAACCCTGGGTGGACTCGAACCCCAACCTTTTGGTTAGCAGCTGAGTGCGTTAGCCATTTGTCTCTTAAAGTGCCTTAAGGAAGTGTACATACATTTTTTTCTACCTAATCTACATATTCTTCAAAGCCGGGTTTCTGAGTGTGTCAGTGTTTCTCCCCTTTCCCGAGCCGAGGATGGCGATTAAAGTGTAGCAGTCAGACATAATGGCTCAGCGAAGCCTGCATCAATGCTTTCCCAGTAGTGTGTTAATGAGTGTTAAAACTGACATCGCAAATACAGCGTTCTGTGTTTTTAAAATTACAGCTCTGTAACAAGTCATGCTGTTAAAACATACAAGAAATACCAGTTAAGCCTTCAAGTAGATAACACGCAGCCCATACAGATCACTGCTATCCCAAAGTGCATAACAAATAGTTTTCTTTGAAATGAGGCAAGAATTAGCAGGTAGTTCACTTATTTGAGTAATAAGATAAGTGGGAATAAAAAATTCAAATATTAAACACCAATTACTACCTTATGAGCCCCAAATCAGCTCGGCATTACAACATGCCCTTTGTCAGTCACAAACCCAGGAAAAGTGGGGGTTTGATGGAAAACACAAACCTATAACCAACGTTAATCCATGCAATCAAGATGTGGTGTTACTTCCTAATCCAGCACTTTCAAGATGGTCATCACTTAAACTATGGGAAAAGCTTGACCCATGTATTTGTACCAATGTCATTGGAAATAACAACCTTCACATGTTGGGAATCAAGTTGCCCTCCAGCCAACAGTTGGGAATGAGTGATCACCAGTTTCTGCTGTGTCCTCTTAAATAAAGGCAGTTTATGAGTCATTCTGACAGCCTGGGTAGTCAACGATGTCATGTCATGCTTATATTCTTCACTCCAGAAACAGAGGAGAAAATAACCCGACCTTCCCCACTTAGCATCAGGGACTAGAAGAAACTGTACATGCAGTGCTATCCAGCAAGGTCAGTGGAAGACCCCACTGAGAGCATGTGTGAATGTCACATCTTGGTGGTGCTTTGAGGGAGAGGAAGATGACCTTTCCCTCCTGGGCCACAGTGCAGTTTCTGTCCTTTGAGGAAATGAACTCCAGTGTTCAAGCCAACAGGCTGACTCTCTCTCCCTTTTGTCTGAAACCACCACTTGAAGAACTCAATACTATTAGGTCATTCTGATGCTCAGAAGTGACTGAAGTTCCAGAATGGGCAAATTTTATACAAGTACATACACATACAGGAGATTTTGAAAAGACAGTATCTAAAGCACTTTGGAATTCCCCCAATGAAAGGCACCAGATAAGTGCAAGTCATTACCAAAATGAAATGTCAAGTTTTCCAGCTTTCACATCAGTAAAGGGTTAACCACTAGGGGTACATGATTTTTTTGTGTGAGGTAAAACCTGCTTATTGAGAAAAATACTCATGAGACTGACTGAGTTATTCACCTTCCTTTCTTCTTCTTTTCACAGGCTTCACAGTCAGTGACCATAAATACCACATTCAGTGACTTGGTATCATCAGCCCTGGCAAATGGAACAGCTCTCACAAGTTTGTACCCTTACCTGCCTTTAGTGCAGCAGGGGATGGTTTTGTAAATGCTCTGTCTTCTTGTGCTGGAAACATCAGCCAAGCGTTCCATGTGCAAATTCTGAAAAATAACCCTGCTCAGCTAACTCTGTGGCTGATTACCTCTAAGTCATCTCATCTTTCCTGATGTTTCTGAGAAATTGACATAGACCATCAGGCACCAGGAGATGGCTGCCTCCCCACCCCCCATGAAGGTCCAGTCTGATGAAAGTATCTGAACTGGGGACTCAAGGGCATAGGTCACTAGTGCTTTCATGCAACAAATTGTCTGCGCAGCAGTAGCCATGGCAACTACACATACACGTAGCCCTCTGACAAGATCCTCACCACACCCCTGTGAGGCAAGTATTATCCTCAACTAACTAAGACACAAAATGGACCTTGTAAGGGGACACTTGGATCAAAAGCCCACCTGACTCCACACATAAATCCCTGGATTCTACAGCCTTTCCAAGGACTGAACTACAATGGAAGCCCATCTGATTATCTAGAAGAGGACAGAGAAGACTTACCCTACAAAGGGTCCCAAGTTTTCCTTCACAGTTTTATGTGCTAAGTAACTAGAGAAAAGGAGGAAGGGCCTTTGTGAGGAAGGAATCTGTTCTCTCCCTTCAACACAAGCTTAGATGTTTAAAGGTCTTTAGATAGCATGAAACTTTTTGAGAAGTTTACAATTATTTATGACATTTTATGAAGTAGTTATTTTCTGTCTTACAACTCTCTTTCCTTTCTCCTGGTCTCTACCCTTCCCCCTGACACACACACCAACAAAAGGCAGTTGAAATGGAAGTCAAAAAGGTAATGCTTTCAGCCTGGGTAAGCCGCAGCCTTCATGCTCATCTATATTTTGAATACATACTTCTAGGTTTCCATGTCATAACAAGAACTCCAGGACAATCATAGCATCATATAAAATACACTGTATCCTGGAAGCAAAATTAAGGAAATTTCAGCTTGGAAATGAAGGGGGTCCCATTTTATGAGCTTTCAGAGTAGGCAACAAGAGTTTTTAAGCTCCTGCCCTTCTTAGAAACTCAACACTGTTCACTTCAGGGAGACAATACAACAGTAAACCTCTCATTAGCTGAGAAAGACAGTACAACCTTATTTCTAAATGTTTTTAAAAATAAATATTTCAAAAACATGCTATTATCTAAAATGCTATGGGTCACAGCAGTCAGATGTCATGAGTTGGGGGCACCAACTCAAAGGCAACAATATCTAAGACACAGCAGAGTTTCGTCAAATGGCCTAGACTAGGAACTTCAACCAGATGTAAATGTTTCTATGGTCACTCTAGGAAAAACGGAGGCCTAGTCTTGAAAGAAAGGAGTCAGCCTACACTGACTCTGCTAAAGCATCCTGGGATTAGGCCTATGATTAGCTGAATGCCCTGTCCTAAATGCATCTATTCTTGGGGAAAAAAGCTAAACTTCACTGCACATTTAACTGAGTAACAGTTTCTAAGGAGTGACATTTACAAGATGAACATCAGCACACACCATTCTAAAGGTGATCAGTGCCCCCATGCAAGCCACAAAGCTACAGATCATTTATAAAAACAACTCACAGACTTGCATAGGTGATGTGTGCTTAACTTCACATTCTCTTTGTTTTGGCATTAAAACTAAATGAAAGCAAGGGATAAAGAAGTGGGATTTTGTTTTCCCATGACTATGAGCAAAATCTCATTATATCCTTGCTAACCTCACAGATGTGTTTCCAACGGACAGACCTGTGGGGACTTTTTGTACAGAACTCACACGACAACCACAGAAACAGGAGCACAAATAACTCACAGACAGTACTGGACCAAGAGCACTAGAACAGTGTACACAAAATGAACAGAAAAATTCGCATTCTGGGTGGTACTCATCCGGCAAAAAGGTGAACATTTTATGCCCACAATCCAAAGACCAGTGAGCGTCATTTCATTGAAAGGTGCAAAGGCATGGTGTCAGACACACCATCCTCTGAAAACACTTCTAAATACTGTAAAAGCAACCTGGGGTGCATATCCCATGTATCTCTCCCCTTTGGGTTTGGGCATACTCCTTACGCCATAACCCTAAGGTGCCTGGACTGTGCCAGAGGCACAAAAGGCAACTCAGCAATGTGGGTCTGAAGATATCAACTCCTCCCAGCTAATGGAGGGAATCGTTCAAACTGAGTTCACTTGGTGAGCTCCTACTCATGTTTGTCAGGCTTGCCATGAGGGATTTAACTTTATGGGCATAGTAGTCTCTTAAATTGATTGAAGGGACCTCCTTCATTCCATCCCCAAAGTCACAGCTGCGCATGGCACTCTCAAGTTGCTTTTGGCGCCTGTAAAAGTGGGAGAACTTGTTGAAGATCAAGGTGATGGGCAGCACGACCACTAGGATACCTGCCAAGATGCAGGCAGAGGCAGTCAGCTTCCCTGCTGTGGTCCCTGGGACCACGTCCCCGTATCCCACAGTGGTCATACTAACGGTGGCCCACCACCAGCAGGCAGGGATGGTAGCCAGGCCCTCATTTTCCTCTTTTTCAATGGTGTAGGCCACCACTGAGAAGATGGAAATCCCCACTGAGAGGTAGAGCAAGAGCAGTCCAACTTCTTTGTAGCTGTATTTCAAGGTGGCCCCCAGGGAGCGGAGGCCAGTGGAGTGTCTGGCCAGCTTCAGGATGCGGAAAATCCGCATCAGCCTCAGGACCTGGGCCACTCTACCCAAGTTGGCCAAGGTAGGTGTACTCTCCACCACCAAGTTCACCACCAGTGTGACGTAAAAGGGAACAATGGACATGAGGTCGATAAGGTTTAGAGCATTCTTAAAGAACTTGAGGAAGTCAGGGGCCACAGCAAACCTGGCCACGAGCTCAAAGGTGAACCATGCAATGCCAAAGTGCTCCACTATTTCAAACCTGGGGTCCTCACCAAGGTGGCCCTGGCTGTCAGGGATCTGGAAGTCCGGCAGGCTATTGAGGCACATGGTGATGATGGACCCCAGCACCACCAGGATAGACAGGACACTGAAAACCCTGCTCAGGACTGAGTAGCCGGGGTTGTCCAGCGCCAGCCACAGCTGCCTGCGGAAGTTGCCCAAGGGCTGCCCGTCAAACTTGGAGGCGTCGTTGTAGAAGGCCAGGATCTCATCGAAGGAGGACGTGGTGCTCTCCTGATCACTCTGCTCGTCCCATTTCTCCTGCTCGGGCTCCACTTTGCGGCCATGGTAGCTGTAACTGCAGCAGGAGTCGATGAAGAACTCGTTGATGCCCCAGTACTCGATCTCCTGGCTGAAGGAGAAAACGCACAGCTCGGCCATGACGTGAAGCTTGCCGGTATGGTAGAAATGCAGTACGTAGGGGAAGAGCTCGGGGTTGCGGTCGAAGTAGAACTCACGCTGGACGTCATCGTAGTCATCGCAGAGCTCCAGAATGGCCTCGCGCGAGTGGCAGAGCAGCAGGCGGCCCAGGCGTGTCTCAGGGAAGCGCAGGAGCGTGTGTGAGCGCAGCCTCCTCTTGAAGCCGCCCACGTTGATGCGGATCTCTCCATCCTCGACGTTGGTCTCCGACACGTCCCACAGGCTCTGGCGGGTCATGCTGGAGATACTCAGCCGCCGGTGCCGCGCGGGGGCGCTACACCTGGAAGCGGAGCAACACAGCCGGCGTAAGCGCGAGGCTCCTCCAACTGGGCACCCCTTTCTTTATCCTCAACGTCTCTGGGGGCCCAGACCTCTCCAGGAAGGTCCCTGGGTACTGAAACTGGGTTGGGAGGGGCGTTGTGTGGGGTTCTGCTCCCTCTGAAGGAAGGAGTGGGAAGGGAGAGTATATTTCCACCAGAAAGGCTGCGACCCCACCCCTGCTCCGGGGGTCCTGATAGTCGCTTCCGTGTGCCAGGTTCGCGCCCCAGAGACTCTAAAAGCCAAGGGGACTGCGCGCTGACCTTGCCCGTGGGAGGGCCAAGGAGACGCCCCCGCCCGCTAGCCGCAGACAGGCGGGACCCGAGCTGGGATGCGTACTGACAGGGCTGGGCCGAGATGGGGGGCGCGTAGCTTTGGGAAGGGGGCGGGGAAATTCACCGCTTGGGTCTGTAAACCCAGGCTGGCGAAAAGGGGCCAGCTTGGAGTCCCCTGCGTCCATCCACTGCAAATAGAGCCCCCCCACACACCCCCACCCGGGCCTCCCCGCCCGCCTGGCGCGGTGCCCTGGAACCGCGTGCGCCGCGCCTTACCCGGTGGAGCTTCCCCGGCTCGCCCTGCGCGTTCTGGAAGCGCTTACCTGGGAGCGCGGGGGCCCGCGGCCGAGGCCGGCGGGAAACTTCCCCGACCTGCTGGCGAGCATCGCGGCAACCGCCGCTGCCGGCTGGCTGTGCGTGTGCGCGCGGGTGCGAGTGTGGGTGCGCCTGTCTGTGCGCCTGTGTGTGTGCCTGGCGGGCCGGCGGGCGGGGTCCGCCGAGCGTCTCCTCCTGTCTCTGGCCGGGGATGCAGCCGCCGCCTGCAGTTGCAGGAGGCTCACAGGTGGCCGCGTGGCCCTGAAGCTCGCAGAGCTCCCCTTTCCCGACCCGCACGCCCCTCAGGCCCCGAGACAGGCAGGAGCCTGAGCCGTAGGCGCCTGCGGGAGCGGAGCCTGTCCGCCTTGGCGCGGGCCTTGCTCTGGGGCTTGGCGTGGTGGTGCTGAACGGACAGCTCCGTGCGCCCTAGCTCCGGGTGCGGCCGCAGCCCCAGACTCGAGAGATCCTGACGCCGCCACCGCTGCCACCGTTTCGGTGCCCTCTTCTGGAGCGTCCCGGAGATCCCTTTGCGTCCCCGACTCGGAGTGAAGATGACACCTTTCCCAGCCCCCACCCGTCCCCCGTGACAGCTGTTATTGCTACCACCCCCTGGGCGCAGGCAGGGGACTGCCTTCGGTGACCTTTCCCCGCTGGGGAAGAAGGGGTGGTTTTCGCTGTCCGAGGGAAGGACAAGACTAGAGGAACTCAGGGTTTCCCCTTTTAGGGACCCGATGAAAAGTTTCCTGAAGCCTGGGGGTGGAGTTGTTGGGGAAAAGAAGCGAGAGGGTAGATGAGAAGGAAGGGCAAGCCTGAGGTCTAGCTCGGCTCAGCTTGCCGGGGGCGGGAGCGCCAGCCCCACAGCGGTGGGAAGGAGTCACGGAGCTCTGTTTGCGAGCTCTGTGTGGGAGCCATGTGTATAGGCCAGCGTGATGTGCAGGCTGCGGGGGAGTGTGTGAAGCTCTGTGTATGTGTGTGTATAGTCTAAGGACAAGAGGAATTTTTGGTGCCTGTGTGTACAACGTTGATAGGGATGGGCTGGCTGCGGTATGGGGGATGTGTGCAATGTGTCAGTATAGAGGGGGCTGTGGATGTGACAGTGTGGTGTGTGTATACAGCAGGTCACTTTCAGCTGTGTATATAGTGTGCTTACACAGTGTAGTATTCAGTGGCACTGTGACAGGGTCAGTGTGAGGGCAGATAGAATGAGAACTGTGTGCATGTGGACCCGGTGGGATCTATTGGGCGTGGGCTCAGCATCAATGTCCTTAATACCTGTGTCGTCATTCCCAAGGAGACTTGTGGCCCAGATCTGAGCTCTCAGTTTCCTAGGATTGTCCTCAAGACCCTGCTGCACAGCCAAGCTGAGAAATGGTCCCTGGGGAGTCCCCTCCCTTGGCTTCTCAGTCCCTCGGCACCATACCATTTGGTAAGACTTTCCGGAGCACCATGAGGTGTGTGAGCTTAGCAGGCAGCTAGTGGGCTACCTTCATGGTCAGAAGTCCTGGGAAAACCAGGAATGGCTTTGAACTCCCAGAGCAGCTGCCAAGGCCTCAGTGGGAAGCCCATCCTTTCTTTACGTGGTTCTGAAAGGCCATCCCAGCTGAGCAGGTGCTCTGTGTGGCTCTAGAGGTCTGTGGGCTCCCTTGGGGGGTCCTTGATCTGGTTTCGTGGGAAAGCTCCCAGATCAGGTCAGGCTTCCCTTAGTGAAGACGCATCCTTGTGGCAGCCTTTGGTTCTGGGCATACGTGGGGGTGGGGTGGGGGTGGGGGGTGGATGTGTGTATGGGTGTGCAGGAGTGTTACCTGCTGAGAATGTGCCCCATGTATGCCCCTACTGATGTATGCAAGATGTGGGGAGTTCCAGGGAGAAGAGAATGTGAGTGTGTGTAAGAGAGAGAGGTTCTTTTGGCATTTGTTATCTCTGCCTTATCTCCATTTCTTTTAGGGTCTGTGTTTTGCCAAGCATGCCCATTCCCTCCCATCTAGATCTGCTGGATCTATCATGTGGTCTGTAGGACCCCCACACCTGACTGGCTGCAGTCTCGAGGCCCCTGGGTCTCCTTTATTCCCATGGGAGTGCCCCTGAGAGAGTGCTAGCCCTCGCTGAGGGGGTGTGTGTGCGTGCGTGTGTGTTTGTGTATGTGTGTGTGTGTGCAATCCCTGCCCCCTTCCCTCTTTGCCAGCCCCCTCTCTCCCTCTTGGGTGAATGGCTGGTATCTCCCTGCTGCGTGTGCTCTTAGCAGCATAATCCCTGCTAAGAGCTTCATGATCCCTGCGGTCTCTCTACCCGTCACCCTGCCATTCTTTCACTGTGGGTGCAGCTGCCTGGCTTCTGGCCACTCTAAGGCTCTCAGTCTCCCTTCTGCTGGCCGCCACATGTCTGTGTGGTTTCTGCTGCATGCCCACCATTTCCAGCCACTCCCTTCCCTCGGCCTCAGCACCCGACTCTCCTTCCTGGTAAAGCCTGATGCACAAACCACCTTTTCCTGGTGCCTTTGGAGGGTCTCCAACATCACTCTATTGTCTCCCCCAGAAACACTGGATTTGAGGACTCAGGGATCTTCCTCCCTCCCTGCTTTATTTATCTGCCTGCCTCCTTCTGTTCCTGGCTGTTTTGTTCTTGCTCATTCCTTCTTCTTTTGTGGTTGTGGAAGATTTCGCCCATGGAGACAGAGCCCCCTCTGTCTTCTGTTTTCCTTTGTTTCTCCCACGCCTACGGCCGCCTCACCCACAGGGCTCTGCCAGGGGCTCTCACCCCTCTCCATCTCTCTAATAGGGACCACTCCATGCCCCTCTCAGCTCTGCCCCTGCCTCTGCCAACCCCACTCCACCTCCCACTCTTCTTCCCACCCTCCCTTTCTCCTTCTCTCCCTCTCCCTTGCCCCCGACCAGGCTGAGATGGCTAAACCAACATGCTCCTGGCCAGGCTGAGGCCTTGTGTGGGCCTCTGTGTGCCCTTTGTTAGCTTCTCCTGTGAGGCTGGTGCCAGGGACAAACCCCCATGCCTGCCTCTCCTGGAATAGAAAAGTGAGCTTGGAGCCTGCAGGGAGAAGCCTGGGTTTGGGACCCATCAATTATTTCTTGGAAAGGCTGAGGCAGACGCTCTGTAGGTCTGACAGATGCCTTTGCAGAGGGTTAAGTATATGTGACAGGCAGAGCCACTTGTTTATTTCCTAGTGACTGCACTGAAGAGACATGGAACCGTCTCTCTCCTTTTGTACCTAGGAAGCTGGCTTTGTTTATGGTCTATTTAGAGGTCTGAGCCCTGATCTTAAAATACAGTTACCTGCTCCAGGCGCCTGTGGAGGCTTGGGCTGGGAGGGTTTGCTGGTGAGACCCTGAGGGGGTGGAGGGCATGAGAGAGGCATTCTGGGAAGGAGGACACAGGGACCTTGGGCGGTGGCCCAGATCCCCACACCTGGGCGACTATTATCTCTGCCTCCCCTACCAACACTGATCTCTCCGCTGAACCCACACATCTCAGGCTCAGCTTTGTTCGCTGACAGGAGAGGGGGTTGCATCCGAGACTTGGCTGAGGGAGCCAGGCTGCCTGACCTACATACCCCACTGCAGGAAAGAACTGAGTCCCTGGCTTGTCTGGGGGTGTTGGCACAGGGATACCCGCCATAGCGATGCAGTGGGCTATTTATCCTGTATGCACTCTGCCTCCTTACCATCCACCCTCCCACCACAGCCAATGTGTCTTTTAAAGATACAAATTTGATCATGTCATTCTCTCCTGAAAACCCTTCAGTGACCTCTCATTGCATTACAAATGAAACCCAATTCCTAACACAGCTCCCAAGAACCTTGATGAGGGGCCTCTGCCCACCTCAAAGACTTTATCCCGTTCCTCTCTCCCCTTCAGTAATTTGACTGCAGCCACATGCCAGCTTTGCTCTCTGTGCAGGGCCTTTGCACTTACTCTCTGCCTCTCATGGCAGCTTCACATGGTGGGATCCCTCTTGTCACTCAGATCTCAGTTTAAATGTCATCTTCGCAGAGAGGTCTGATGGTCCAATATCAACTGGATCCTTTCAATCATTTTCTTCCCAGCACTCATATTAAATAGTTCTTGAATACATGATTGCATGAGGAATGAATGAATGAGGTTCCAATTGTTTTCTCATGTTAGTCTGTGCCAGCTATGGCCTTGGTCCCCCCTCTTCCTCCTTCTGGTGGACCAAGGAGGGAAGTAGAGGGGGTGGAGTTACTATGTCTGGGACTGGGGCTTGGAACCGTGGCTTAGAACCTCCAGGATCTAGGGTGTTCTCCTGAGCGAATGATTGGTCTAGTGAATATCATCCCTGGCTGCACATCAGATTCACCTGGAGAGTGTTTCAGCATACCAATACCCCTAGATGCCTTGTATCTCACCCCAGAGCAGTTAATTCAGAATGTCTAGTGAAGGGATAGGCAGCAGTGTTGTGCTAAAGCTGCCTGAGTGATTGCATCGTGCCGCCAAGGAGGAGAGCCTGAGCAGCCTGTCTTTGGGGGTGTGAAATGAAGCTGTGTGCTCCTGAGTCTGCAGCAGCACCAAAGGCAGAAGCTGGGTCTTACTCAGCTTAGCAAACACCCGTTCCCACTGGCTGCAATCCTGGGTGCAGTGCCTGCCCAGAGTAAAACCATTAACCAATTGCCC